TTTTTTTTTTTTCAGTCATAACGGTGTTTAATAGGCATTCTTATTGTTTTAGACTATTCTGAATGTTGAAAGCAGCTAATTACTTGTCACAGTTATTAAGAAGATGGAGAACTCAGTGGGCTTCATTGCGGTTTAAGTTCATTCAGGCTGTCTCGCTTCACAAACTTTTGTAGTTTTTTATAGTTTTCTTGCGTAATTTTTTCAAAAGAAAGTGGGAGCAGCAATCTGAAGAGCTTCAAAGATTTCTACCCTGCGTATTTTTTCCGGGTTAAAGGAGGACGAAGGAGAGCATATGGCTAGGTTCACTCATTTTTGTTCTTCTGTTACGGACGTTTGATTGTTGGTAATTTTGGTAGTATGGGTTGGAATTATTATGGCGAAGATTTTTTTTGAACAGAAGATCTTCTGCGGTAAGTAGGATTGTTAGTGTTTTCACGTCTTACCAAACGGTTCACATTTTCCTCAGAATTCTAATGGACGGCAGACCGTAGGTTCTGTTTTTACGAATTTGTTCATTCAGTCTTTCTAGTTCCGGATGGTATGCGGAGATCTCTAATTTCATGTTTTTTTTTTAAAATTAAATACAGGAAATTGGCTCCTGGTGTTTATTTATTAAAAATGTTTCTAGGGGATTTGAAAGTAGGTTTTTCTAATACTTCCGATCTTGTTTTTTTCTTGACTTTCTATATCACAGTCACAGGGACGGGATGAAATGAAGAAGTATCTGCCGAGTTTTGCATTCGATAAGGTAGTGTAGCTGTAGATTTGAGGTGCGAAAAAGCGTTGGTGTGTTATAGAGCATCGACTAAGGCGGGGTTGGTAGGCGGCAGTGGACTGAGGGAATTCGGTATCGTCTGTGGGGATGTGAGGGTTATCTGCTTGTCAGATAAGAAGCGAAAGCGTTTTTGTCATCTGAGCACAATAGCTTTCTGGGACAGGGTTGCACACCAGAGGCATTTTCGTTTTAGAGGTTTATTGCAATGGAACTTGATGAATTCTCACTGCTGTTTGCTTTGCAAAGTGTCCAGACACATCTGTTGCAGTTTGAACTTTACGTTATTTTGAAAACAATGAGGTTTTGTATGAAATGTTTGAAAACAACTGTTTTTTAAGTGGTTGTTACGAGCTTCCAGTCGCACCACATAAGATCAAAGAAAAGATGGAAGATTCCTCCTAATTAGTAGGATGTTAGTCTTTTTCCGATTGTGGTAGGTGGGTATGCGTGATGGATTTGTATTTCGGAAGTCAAAATTTATGATGTGTGTAGATTTTGAGAAAAATATGAGCTATCAGCTGAGGGAAGTTCGTGTGTTACTGCTGATTGGCGTATTAATAATTTATCAAGTGTGTAGCAATGAAATTTAAGCAGTGTTGAATTTGTTTTAATAAGTTCTAATTTATTCCAACCAAGTTTTCATTTGCTGCACTTTGAACTGTAAAAGTATAAATTTTTTATTGAAGAAACAGGTGTAAAATGTATTCAAGTCGTGTAAACACTTATTTCATGTTGCGCTTGTGCAATTTTTTATTGGAGGGTCGCAGTTAAACAACTATTAGGAAATGGTGGGACTTGCAACTTTTTTTGATGCTGAAAGTATTTTTAAAGTATGAATATTGTTTTATTAAAAGGTATAGGAAATGAAGCAGAACTTTGCCGTGGGAACTTGATGAATTATTTTTGTTGTGCGAAAATGCACAAATGTTTTAAAATATAAATTTACATAAACATTTTAGCATATGGGCAAGTTTTAAATGGAGGTAATTGATAATACACTGAAAACTGAATCGCAGATGTCAAAACTGCATTATTTTATCCGTTTTCGCTTTAATTCAAAATGCATTTTCCTTTAAAAAGTCAGGATTCTTTCACTGTCATGTTGGTTGAATAGTTTAGATTTGGGACTATTTTTGGATAAGAGAACGAATGAATTTTTTTTTGAACGGTTTTTGACCAGGACATTGAACTAAGTGTTGCATGACCGTTTTTTCTAAACTTGTTGTTATCTAGAACCGTTTGTTGTAGTTTTTCTCATCTAATTGTAGTTAACAGTTTTTCTCATCGAATTGTAGTTGGGTCAAGAAACATCATCAAAATTAAAATAGAAAGAAAAAAAATAGGTTTTTTTCGGCTGTCGATTTAACTATGGTTTTAAATTTTTCTAAAATGCAATAATTTTTTGAATCTGTTTATTCGTTTTTCTATTCATTTATCTGTTTACTTAGATTTACCGAGATGTTTAGGTGGATCTGTTCATGAGATTTACAGTATATTTGTTTCATACTTTGATGTCTTTTTTTGTACTTGAAAATAAAATTATGGTTGATTACAGTTCATAAAATTGGTTGCTAAGGAGCTTTTATGCATCTGATAATGGCTGCAAATAGCATTTTTTTAATTGCCGATATTACTATTAAGTAATAT